GTTTCCATTCTTTAATCATGGTCGTATGATGCTCGCGAGCTACGACAAATGTGTGGACGTCATGTATGGCACCATAATTATTTTCGCCCAGAGAACGTGTACGGCCTAAATCAAACAAAATATTTTCGGAATATGGCAGTAATTAACTCACCATTGAGTAATGCAAATCTATCTGTATTATCAATTGCTTGTAATGCATCACGAACATAACGTTGTTCGTGAGTAACTGTCAATGCCGAGTAAGTATTTGTGATGATCTCATTTACGATGGAAAGCATTTGCAAAAGCTGTTCAGGATCGTCTTCTTCAGTATTTTGATCTTCTTCATAGGAGTTAGGGATCAGAATAGGATCAATGCTGCTGTCATCTTGTGCTTCTAAAAGAACTTGATGAAGGTGCTCATCTCGATCGTACTTACATTCATGCAAAAGTTATATATTTTCTATAATTTTGAGTGAACTAGAAGAGATCAATGGTTTTCGAACTTCCAGTGCCTCAGACCATGTCTGATTTAGTGCACAAAGATCGTGGACTGATCTCCATGGCACGAATAAAGTTAACAATGCACGACAATAACGCTCGTGTACTTCTTGTTCGCGACGGGGTATTGGAGGACCAAGCAGAACTGGTACCACTGGAGTGGTACGTTTAATGATGATATGTAATGATCATTGTGTGTGTACACTTTCAAATGTGTGTCGTTCGTTTATTTTTGTTCCTTCGGTATATAATCGTTCGCCTTCATGCCCATTTTCATTCTTTAGTAAACGGCGGTCTGATTTGTCAATAACCTTCTTGGGAAAATGACTGATAAAATCATATAAGCATAATGCACTTAGATCTTTTGATCAATGCTAATAATTCAGACGAGTGTTTATCGTGACATACCCATCACCGCTTTTGGTTTTTGTTGGCTCTAATAGAAACTGTTCTTCAATTTCTTTTGTATCTTTCCCTTGTTCATCATAGAAGAACGTTAGGATCTCTAGAAAAATTGCATATTAAATATCTATGTAATCATTTTTAAAACTTTTTACTATCAACTTGCTGCTGCTCAATAGATTTGACTCCTTGCTGTGTAAGGGCAAACATATCATAGAAGACTAGAATCAACTCTGTTATAGAATCATTTATATAGTACCCTAAAGCTTTAGCATCATTACCACTCCAGATGAATTTAATATCCATATTGGATCGGCAAGCATTTAAGAGCCATTCATTGAAGTTGTTGATCCACGGATGTGATCGACGCATAGTTATCTGACCTGTAGAAGGATCGATGTTGGAAGTCTTCACAAGTACACGTGGCATACGCATTCAACAAGCTTTTGAACTATTGGACTTGTCTTTCGAGTGTTTGTAACACATTGCAGAATGCTCGTGAATATTGCATGTTTCGACTAATCTCATTATATCTTTGCGAAAAATACGATGGAAGTCATCTAACACAGGATTTGACGTTGGTTGGCAGGCCGGTACAACTTTATTCGTTATCAGCCAAGTTTCTTCTAAAATCAAGACAAAAGCAGAATTAAGAATATACCAAAAGCTACAAACTCACGAATTAATGCACTGTTACCGCTTGCTGTACTGCTTCCATCGTTGCTTTCATCTTTAAAAAGAATGGTCAAATTTAAAAGTACAAATGATCTAATGCAGTTATTATGGTTACTAAGAATCTGCAATTCGAATTAAACACATTTTGGATTATCGAGTATTAGTTGAAAGCTCAACTCTAGGCTAAAGCAACGATAACGTATTCTCAGGGTATGAAATTTCGTCAAATAGGCAAATGCGAATATTTCAAATCACAAATTCGAACGGTGCTAAATGTATTACCTCGAAATGGATCTAAATCTTCTTTTACAACATCTTCTAAATATTTTAGTAAATTTTCACGAAAATCTTCGTGTTGAACCTTTTCTTTTAATTGTGCTGGAGTAAACTTATGATTGAGCCAAATTTGAAGGTGTAAAGTGAAGCGAGTCTCTGCCTTGATTCTCGACAGTGCCGAAATATGCTTTTGTGGGACCAAGTGCACTACCGAGCACAAGACTTTTCAAGATGCTTTTTATTAAACAGTTAAAGAATTTTGCAGTAGCAACAGGATGTGTTGCGATAATTTGAGCATGTTCATAACTTGTGCCCAACACTTCTGGCAGAACTTTGTCAAGATCTAGATCAACACCTGCAAAATAAAATGCCACTGGACTATGTATGTAGGCTGGATTGATTGGTAGGAAAAGAGTTGGAAGACCGAGATTAAAACACAAAGAATGAATTTTCATACGTAGAGTCGACCGTGAATGAACTGAATCCATAACATGACCACCAACCATTTTGATATGCTTCATGAGCGTATTTATTCTTTCATTAGTAATTTTGGAATAAGACGCTTTTGAGATGTTGACAAGGACCGTTGTTACATCTTCAGAACTCAATAATTCAAGAAGTTGTGCGGATTGCTGAAAGTACGGCCTTGATGTTATTAATTGGGTATGGAAGCACGCGATTCAGCGTTGTAAAATATCGAAGACAACAAATATGAATGAGTAGTGTTCTTCAAAATGATGATCTCCGTACGAAAGAAGATATCTGAGATGCTCGCGAAAATTAGTTTGGGCCGGTCGAGAGTAATCTTCAAGTGTATCACATCCATACGGTAAAAATGTAGGAAAGATACCCAATAAAAGATTTGAATTAGAATATTCATTGACCGGTTTGTTACCACGAGGAATTATGTACACAGTATCTTGTTCAATGTTTTCCTCGATGTCTTTTTTCAGCGTTTTATCACCCATTTGTACCTTTATGCATTCTAAAAGATGTTCAACAACGTCATCAGACGAAATTTTGGTACTGTTAACATGCAAGATAGCACTACAATACAAACAATGGTAGATACAAATATCAATGCCTTTTTGCTTTACCTCGCAACTATTGGTATAGCTGTTGTAGAGTTGGACTAAGATGCATTGATCAGAGGGTCAAAACTATAAGTTGTCCTTCGTTTTCAACCGCTTCTACCTTAGCGGAAATTTCCATTGTTGCCCAGAAATACTCTGGGACATTATTCTCAAGTAATTTATTGATTGTTGATTGATTAATTGTAACATATCGATGAAGTAGATTGTTTGAGCTAAGTCATTTAAGTGCATCAGAAACTTTTGTTTTTCGAACAGCCAAAATATTTTTTAGTTGACTTCTTTGTGGAGTGTGACAACTAACAAAAATAATTTTTAGAGAATCACATAGATCATCTAATTCTAATGGCAGGGTAGTAGCTATGTTAATAACATCTTGAGGAAAGCTTATGCAGTTGCCCTTTAAAGTTGATTGAGCTGTGCTTGTCGAATGAAAAGATGAATATAATTTCACAATGCAGCTGTTATGTTGGTAGAGAGCAATAAGTGTTTGCTCAGGAATGGTTAGTCCTTGTAATTGCTGCGGCACATCCCCCATTCATACTTTATTGACAGCTGAAAACTTGCGTATTTTTGCTTTCAGCACGGACTACCAACATTTTGTACAAATGTCGCAGTATACCGAAGATTGTCTCTTTTTATCAAAAGCTTTATGACGTCTTGCTTTATAGAGAAATATACTGTTTACCCAAGTAAATGATTGATCATGCATTGATAATTTTGTATTCCTATCTATAATAAAAAAAACCTGATTAATCTTGCTAGTTTAAGTATTACAATGATTCAGCTGCTTCTCTTTCGTCTCGATCGAAAGCTAAACCAAGATCGGCATTCTTGCTAAACTTATCTTTTGAATGAAACTTGCTCATTCGTTGCATTATAGAAATTATGTCATAAAGATCATTATGTACTCTAAGCAATTCAATCGATGGAATTTCGCACAATGATATGTGTCAGAGGTTACTCTTATAGCAACGAACATTACAAATGCCACAAACATTCTCTGCTAGAGAACTCATCGACATATGTCGACTGAAGTTTTTTGAGCAGTTAATCGTGCATTCCTTTTCAATGAGTTTTGGTTATTCAGTGTCGCTACTTTTAGGATTTTTGTTTCTATCAGTAACCGTTTGTGCTTACACATTTTTCTGAAGACGTTTTCTCTTACGAGCCACTGCTTGCTGTTGTTCGACTTTCTTCTGGTGCATCAGCAGCGCGTATTTCAGTACTTCTCGTGCGAGCTAGTACACACACTTTTTCAGTTTCTTTTGGTGATATAGTAGCTCGTTTAGTCATACTCCTCCCAAGAGCAAGTGCTTGCTATTGTTCGATTTCTTTCACTGTAAAAGTAATTCGCCAAGCTACAGTTTTCCCACGAATTAATACTCGTGATTGGTTCATTTTCTGTACTGTGGGTGTGGGTATTAATTGCGATACCCACATCCACGCCCTTCATTTCTTGTTGATGAATACCAGTATTTTAATTGAAAATCATACATTGAATTTAATTTTTAAACGAATTCACTGCATTTATTAATTAATATGTCAATTTTAATCAATGAATTTGAAAAAGCATCAATTTTATGTCACTTCATCATCAAAAATACCATTTGTTATGCTTTTTGTATAGATTTCAAGGTTTTAATGAATATGTTTTTATTTTGAAGTTACTTGATGTACACGAAAAGAGTAATTATACGGATACATGGTGTTCTGAAAAGCATAGTTTACTAGTACACTCTATTTCAAATTCTCATTGAACACATCGAATGACACTCTAATTTAAGAACTCTCATCCTGTTAAGATCGTTTGAAGCTTCATAAAATTTTGTCACGATTTCACACGCCCACAGGATAGGATAGGGCAGATTTTGTTAACTCATTAGACAAAAAATTAATTCCATCCAATGCCATCCTGAGTCTGACATAGAAACTACAGGATGAACAAGATTTTCGCTGTATAATTGCATTAGGAACAACCAATCGAGACCAGACTAGTGCTGGCAATTAGGTTTAGCCCTGACTCACATATTCCTAAAATATCAGCCCGCTATTATTTATTTTTATGCTTGTTCAAGGAAAATACCTTCTTTTGCTGAGCGCTGTAGTGATCTAGAGAAATGGATAGTAACTTATACTTTATAATCAAATCGACGTACTTGACGTTCTGCTAGTTAAGAATTTTCTCTTTTGATTAGATCTTTTCAATAAGTGAGATGCATTCACATATATAGTAGGAAGAATCTAAATTCATTAGTGCCAAATAGTATTGTCTCATGATCGCTCGCTAAATTACACATAAAACGAAAAATAAGCGTTAGATAGTTAGCATTACCAAGCGCTTACTTTACTAG